ATGTTATTCTTATCACAATTATATTTATAATTCAAATTATGATATCCCATATGCATTACCTTGCATTACTCTATGATCCAATTAACCAGTCTTTTCCTAACTCCTGCCAGAATGATTTTGTTAGCTAATTTATTTTGTGACACCTTATCAAAAACTTTTTAAAAGTCTAAGTACACTAAGTCCAAAACATATCCATTGACCAGATAACAAGTAACATCCTTGGAAAAGATAACATTTCTTTTTTGTTGGAAGTACATTTCCAAATGTTAACAAAGGATCTATTTAGCACATCTATGTTATCTCATTTACTACTCATCTACCACACCTAAAGGGAAACTAAATTGAATACTCTGTCAGTAAATAACATTGCCTTTACTGGAGTCATGTCTTTTGTGAGTTTTCCATACTTTGTGCTCTTTAGCTTTACTGTCTGCAGACATTTTTGAGAAGATTGTATTTATGGATTACATAGCTCTAAAAATTTTATACATCAATCATGTCCCCTTGAGCCTATCTCTTCTCTATCAAAAATATGTCAAAAGATTTCTACCTAATGTTATTCTACTAGGCTCAGACCAATGAAGTACGATTGAAAGCAGATATGTGAAAAGTTTATCAGTTTCTAGTTATGCCTTATGGGTCATGTTATGCTCCAAAAACCCTGGAACCGTGGTAAATATTCACAATCTCCACCCAGTTAACCATTTCTATATTTAAAATTATCAATAAATTGAAAATACCATTGTTTCTAGTAAGTTCCCAGAACAAAAAGTGAAGAAAAGTGACTTTACAAAAATAGAGGAAAGAAAAAAAAGCAGTAGTTTCCTCTGGCAACAAAATAACTTGAAAGACTCAGTTTCTTAAGCATAAAGCTGCTCTCCTATAAGATAAAAAACCTGCCCATTAGATTCTCAATCTTTAAATTCCACAACATTTTTATTTTTCTAGTGTTACTTTGTCATAAGGGGTTACATAATTTATAAAGGAGAGTCTGCATGGATTCGGATTCAAATGATCATTGCTTAATTAGGTTTTGAAGGTATGTGACAAAATCTGTCTGTTGTGAAATGTCTGATTTGGCCAACTAAATTAATTGGAGATGCTGATCAAATGTAGAAAAAATTTGAAAGTAAATTTTTTATATATTCAAGATATACATGTTTATTACAAAAATAAAAAAGATGGCTATAAGTAAAAAAAAAATCCAAGTTGGTTTGCAAAGGGTATAGAATATATAATTAAAGAAACGTTTTATATATATTTAAGAAGTTTAAATTGACTGGTATGACAGAAAATGTAAGAGAATTATAAATGATCAATAAGAGTTTGTCAAACAGTAAATCAGGAAATTAAAGTATATGAAAAAAGGTGGATAAAATATATAAATTAACATTAAAGATTTCTTTAAATACTTTAATGGTAAGCAAACTGTTAGGATGAGAGTATGACCTTTGAAAGATGATAAAGGAAAGCTCATATCTGATGATTTTGATATGGGTGGGCTATTAAATTCTACTTTTCTCCAGTTTTTATAAATGAAGATTTAAGCAATATTCTTGTCCTGAACGGTTTCTAGAGTGAACAAGATGATAACATTAATTCTGAGCTTGTTAAGAAAAAAATTGGGAAGTTTAAAGTAAGATAAGACTCCTGAGTGAAGAGAAACAAAAGTTTCTAACCACCCCGGATTTTCTTTCAAGCCCCAAAATGTTCTTTGGAGTTTTGAAAAATTTTTAAATCAAAATTACTGCCATGAATTGTTTGGGGGCAAATAGATGGTAGATGGTTTTTAATTATAATAAATGCCAGGTAATGCATATGGGTTATCATAATTTGAATTATAGGTGTAATTGTGATGGAAATAATATTAGCAGTGTTATGGAATAAAAGGATTTTGGTGTTCTGGTTGGTCAGTTTCTTATGCCATTCAAGCAGTGTGCTGTTGTTTTATTGTTGTTAGCTTGCTAGATATCATTGGTGTTATAGAGTATAGTTTTAAAGAATATTGTCAATATATAACTTTTGTTTTTTGGTCTTTTTAGAAACCATGAAAAATAAAGGAGAGGGGATTATACTTGTTAGAAATGAGCACTATGTTATCATGGTGGCTTATTAAAGTACAGTATTTGGGAGATGAAATACTTAACAGAAAAATAAGAAACTTATTGGTGTTTTCTACAGCCCTTCTGATTGGTTTGTCAGAGTTACATGCATACAGATATTGATGGAAACATAGTTGTTGATTATGGGAGATTTTATATTTAGGGAAATAGGTTAAACATTTCTTTGCCAGTAGTATAATGTCAGGGAAAAAGATTGGATGGTTGATATAAATGGGAGGAATGGAAATAGACATTTTTAAATGGGGTTATGGTATAACTGAACTAACCTTCAATATGTGAAAACATTTTACATCATTAATATAATAATGTAAATTGTTATTAGTACAATTCAAGTATGAACAGCTACAGATGAGTGATTTAGTGCTAGTAGGTGCATTTCATAGGGATCTTTGTGTTCATTCTTACAAAAAATGGAGGGTCTGAACTTGATGGAGAGTTTTAGATAGTGCTGTGAAAAACAATAAGCTTCTGAATATGTGAACATCAGCATTAGAGTTTGTAATAATCTGCTATTAGTATATGTTTATGAATATCCCAGTTATATTGGTAACATTTTGATTTTAATTATGTCTAAATTTGATGATATGAAGATATTTTACAAGGCAGGTAGTTTAAAAAAATACACGTCATTTGATTGGCTATGAAAATAGTATAGAAAATAGAAGCAGTTTTAATGTGGAATGTTTAAACCTAAGTGAACTGAAATTCACTGTACTGCTAAATGACAAATTAATATATATGTATGTGAAAATAACAAGTTTGTAAGGTCAAGCTTGTCTGTACAATGTTTAAGGGACTGCTCTGGCTTATAAAAAGTTAGAGCCAGAAATATTACCAGCCTCAGAATTCTTTGCCAATTTTCAAAACCAGGAGCCACTTATTTATTACATGTTGAACTTACACTTGTATAGCATGTGTAAGCAGGTGAAATTAACTGCCTGTGATTTAACCTGTACAATAAACAGACAGCCATGTTGTAACTATGATGTGAATGAAACACTGATGATCAAATTTTACTAACACAAAATTTGGGTGCTAAAGAAATCACAAAACACTACATTTTGCCACCAACAAAAGTAAAATATTGCAATGTGTGATTTTGGCAAAGCCCAGAGTAACCCCTGTGTTTAATGGATTGTAAACAACAGTTTAGTTGAACTATGCTGTTAAATATGTTTAATGAACAGTGGCGCTAATCAGTACTATTTAAAGGATACAGAACACTGGTTGAACTCGTGCACCATTTGTTTAAGTATAAAGGATACTGGACAATGGTCAAACTTATGTGTATTTTTAATATGTATTGTGTTCAGGAGTAAAGGTGTTATTGCTTATTAAAAAGGTTCTTTATAATATCCATTGAAATTACTGTTGACAGTGTTTGGTTTTCATATAAGAAAAATATTCTGCTGAAAAAAGTATAGAGAAAAGGTAGTATAATATGTCTTTGTTAAAATAACTTGTACTAAATAAGAATAAACTTGATGCTTAGATAAATCGAAGCCATGATTTGAATTTCTACTAGGGCACATTCCCTGCTTTTGTAATGATATACTTTTATTACAATTTACCATATGAAAACTTCTATCCTGCCATCATTGTGTTATACATTATACATTACAACCCCTGTTGCGATGTGTGACCATGCTCTATCTGATAACTATACATCTTGACAATAGTTCTGTAGTCTAGTTATCATTGCAAAAAAAGCTGTCATATACAAAGCACACCACTCCTCTCTTTGTGTTTGTCATAAGTCACCTACTATACAAGGATGACAGTTTTACAGTGCCCCTTTCAATAGACCAATTACACAGGACTTTATAGGAGTGCTTCTGGTGACTTGACCAGTATGTCTTTGGATGGAATAGCATGAACACTCATTTCATTCTCCAGCAGTTTGAAGTGTGCAATGGCTGAATGGATATATCTTGGAAGCAGCTTGAATCCTTTCTGATAATGTTGTGTACTGTTGCCTATGGCATATTCACAGCTGTTGCCAGTGATCTTTGTGTCTGTAGATTCTAAGTTGTTACAAGACACCAAACTTTGCTTACCATGACTGGATTATGACTTGTTGTAGATCTTTCAGAATGTTCCTAATGCCCTGAGTTGATCCATATATCTTTTTTTCCAATGCGATTAAGTACAAGGGATGTCCTTACCTTTCAGATTATAAATCCCCCAGTCTGAACACATCTTTATGATATGAGTGTATGAATAATTTTTGTCTGAAAGGGCTATTACAAACCTACCTATCCAAAAAGCACTCTTTGATGGCATGACACTACTTACAAAATTCCAAGCAATGTAAAAATGTAGTTCTAATATATGCTATTCCACTAAAACTGACTTTATATGAGCTGTTGATATTCATATTCAAAATTGGTTTAATATAACATACGTAACCCCCTGTATTTTCTTTTTTTTAGTGTCAACCTTTTTAGCTTTTGCTATTGCCTGAGTGCTTAATGTACAGTTATCAGATATAACTAGAAAAATTAAAACAAATTACAGTACAATCACACCAAAATCTCTTTCTCTTGAACAACATTAGTTTATTTTCACACAAAAATCAAGTATTTTCCATATTTCTGTCTTCAAAGCTGAATTCATCAGTTAATAATAATTAAAAACAAGCCATATCATTGATTATTTTAAGATTAAAAGCCAATAAAGATTCTGACTGATTTTGTTTTGTAAATTATACAAGAGTAATAGTACCTAAGTATTAATTGTGTAAAATATTGGAATCTGTCATTGATTCCAATTCATTGTTGTCATGGTTAATAGTGTATGTAAAATTACCTAACATTAATTGTTAATTAGTTACTAATTTTTTTGAAACACTAGATATAGTTACTAATTAGTTTATGTTCTGTGTTTCAGCTTCTAATCTACCACCATCTTCTGGGAAGTCCTGAGGGGGGACTGTTTGTGGTGGTAGGTGCCAGGATTCATTCCAAGGTCTCCTTGTTAAAGGTTGGTATTCTTCCCACTCGAATGGGATCTCTTTTATTATAACTTGAATCATTTAACTGTTTGAATGGCTTCAGGGGAGTTATCCAGGTTTTGCTAACTTTTTTGATAGAATGGCTGAGTGTGTTATCAGTTAGGTGAATGCAAAAGTATTGTTTTATCTTTCTTTCTCATGTATGGATAATATACCATTATTTCTCTATACTACTTTACTTTATCCTATGATATTCTCTGGTATGATGGACTATTGTAGATAGAGCAGTATTACACATTCTTGTATGTCTATTATGCCCCTGAATTTTGTCTTTTGTTTGTCTTTTTGTTTCTCTGAGGTATTGGAGGGAGTCCGCAGTTACAAGGTTTGTAAATGGTGTTTTAGCTCTCCATTGTGTTGTGGATTTTTAGTGATGTTCTGACTTATGCTGTTTGCATATCTCTTGTACATTTTCAGAAAGACCTTAGTCATATGGGAATATGACCATGTTTTTGGAATTTTCGTCCTATTTGTTCTCGAGGCTAATTTTTTCTTCATCAGATGTTCAGGGTATCCATTTTCAAGGAGTATCATAGTGATGTTTTTTTTCTTTCTTAGTACCTTCTCTGTTACAAATTTCATTCATTCTGGAGACTAGACGTTACCATTTTTACACTGTTTGGGAGGGAATTTAGAATAGTAGTTAATTGTATATCACTTAGACAACAATAATACAAATGCAACTAAAGTCATTGTTACAAACTGTTTAAGAAATTAAGGCATAAAAAAGTGAATTAAATATGTTTAGATCACCTTTATTAACACAAAAACAGTATTATTATTATTCTAAGAAAAAAAAGGAACTTGTAAGATGTTTTAGATACAGAAATTAATTGTAAACTTGTATTTACTCTTATAATGAAAATGAAAAAGGAATGTTTCCTTTTATTGAACGTTTTAATACTAAAGAGGTTATGTTAAAAAATCTAGGTATAATACATGTATGTCTTAAAAGTTTATTACCTTCAGTTAGTGATGTGCCAGGTTGATATAATATTACCTTGTGATTTAACCCAGTGTTTTTCAAACCTCAATACCAAGAACTGGCTTGCTATCTTCCTAAGCTGTCATGGGTCACTAAAATGCATGTTCAATGAAAAAACCATTATATTTACCTATGAATCTTCTGTAAATTTTTGTGGAATCACATGGATCAGCACTGGTTCACGTATAGGTGATTAAGAAACACTGATTTAACTAAGTAAGAAATATCTAAGTTTGGAATGTGATAAAAAACTGTTGAAGTATGGACTAATATTTGTAAAGAATCTTCACATTAATTTTGGCATTACTTACATCCTTTATTTTAATTAGAACTTGCACTCCTTATATTGAACCAAGAAGTACACTTGGGGCTTAATTTCACAGAATGTTCAAACAGGATGTGTAAGCTACTTTGAAGTTTTTAGCTAGATGTGAACTAATGACAAAGCCTGAATAAATATACCCACATATCGAATGCTCATGTGACTATAGTAAATGAACTTACAAACCAGCAAGACATCTTTATTAATATTTCATACAACAAATTAACTGTACATACACTGCTGCATCATTTGAGATGATCAGACTGGGCTTCACCATCATTTAAACAATCATGATATCTACAACAGAGTGCCTAACATGCTGTTACTCAATTTTCAACTCTGATTCAATGGAAAGTATGTGTGATTTGTTATTTTAATTTGTCAATGGTTTTGGGTTTATTTTTAGATATCCTCCTATATTATCTGAAATAAAAACTTTTAGAATTGATATACAGAAGTTGCATAACTTTAAAGGATGGGTACACTTTTTGGATCACCCTGTATATAGTCATGAGAGACTTGACAAAGAAGTAAACAAAACTTGCATGTTGAATGAAAAATTAGATCTTAAAAGTTGCTCATACATAAATGTAGCAGTGTACAGATAGTCTTATTATATAATGTTATAAAAGTACAAAACTAAATTGTGGACACCATGACGTTGATGTCACTGTTAGTTTGTTAACTTTGAAGTAGAACTAATGTGTATAAAATACTCAGATAAAGATGTTTAAATGTTGAGGAAACTTAATGGGAACTTTCTTGGTAGAAAAATAAAGTTGAGCATTCATTTTATGTAGTTTAAAATGTTTTTTTTAGCATTATTAAACAGGAATATGTAAGTAATTCACAATTAATGTTTGTGTCATTCTCTATCCATGTATATAGTACAGTGCAAAACAGTAAGTTAGCTAGGTATTTTATTACATCATGAGCTCATCATTTGTGGCTGTTCCCTCAAGTGCATCTGACTGTAAAGATGATCCATTATGTATGTGTGTCTGTTAGCATCTATCACTCAAAGTTGGCTGGCTTGATTACCGTAATTTTGGTATGGTAACTGGAAACTGTCAGATGCTGTACATGGGCTATTTTGTTTTGGGGCACATTTCCATTTTTCTATGGACTTTTGGCTTTGAATTTCAAGAGGTTATTAGGGATTTAATAATAAAGAATGAAGAGACATATTATCTAATATTGTCCTTTATACAATTTATTTTAAGGGGTGACCTAAGCCAGTAATTAATTACTTTGAAATCTTTGTAAAATTATGAGCCATTACCAACATTATTTAAATGATACCTAAGGGCTTGTTACTTGGAAGTGAATTTAATGATTTAATATGATCTTCTGAAAGCTAAAATTGTTGCTGAGACAAAACATCAAGAACATAACTTACTAATGCGTTTTTTATTAATATTCACTAATGAAAAGCTATTTATTATGTACTTTTCAATGTATATCTAAATTTGCATATGTTATATACATAACTGACACATGAAGTAATATTTTGTGTTTGTTTCGGTTATGATGTAATACATATATAGCCATTGTATTACTATGTTCATATCATATATCTGTATAATTATGAGATTTATTGGTCTGGCAGCGCTGTTCTAGTTCCAATGATTACCTCAGTGCAGTAGATTCGGACCTCGACGTCGAGCACCACCTGGTAGCGGTTTCTTTCATTATTGTTTTGTCATAGATACGTCGTGACTAAAATATATGGAAAAGGTTTTGTATTAATCTGTATGGCAGCACGCATGTCCAGTGTGTAATATATTTTGTCTGCGGACACGGTTCGTGCACTTATAAGTTATCGTAGCGTGAGAAAACGTCTATTGAGGGCGCACCTGTCGCCGGAAGTGGTTGACCTTGCTTCCTCGTATTTTTTACAAGCGGGAACCTCAGCAGTTGGGTAGAAGACGGGTGGAAATGGGGTTTGAGATATGATGTTATGCAACAGGAAACGTATGAATACGGAGGGTACATGTTAAATTCAATTGTTTTTTGTCACCAGTTGTGTGTTGTGATTGGACCTACATATTAGAGAAGTTGTCTTATGCTTGTGTCACTGGATTTTATGTATGTTTGGTAATGATAGTACATAAGTTATAGAAAAGAATAAAACGTCACTGAAATTGCTTAACTGTTATGAGGAGCTTTGTGTAAGTACGTGTATTGATTGATCTAGATTATAAAGAAACCGTAATAGTCGAGCGCTCTCGGATAGTGGACTTTCATTCATCAGGGTTAAATTTATCTCATGACATTTTGCCATTTACTACTGATGATTGAAAGTCCACTTTACAAAAATGGCCGGTTTATTTGGCGTTTCTTTTCTGAAACTTTTTTCTGCTGATCCTGTATTATTTCGTGTTTTGTTAATTTAAATGCATATATTATGTATATATTGATACTTTGGTCATTTCAAATAATTATTTCCAGTTGCCTTGTGTGCATCGGCGCCGGGAGAAGGAAGAGACACGACTCGGTATGTATATACTTGTGTGTATGGTAATCGTATGTCCAATTAATTAATTGGTTATTTGAGTGTTTAGGAAATTTCGCTCAAAGCTAAACAAAGGTTATCTGCTCTAACCGTCCTTAATCTTGAACTGACAGAGGGAAACCATCTACCCAACAACACCCATCTTACATTCTTTGGCTAGTCTAATCAAGTGACGAGGTTTGGCCATCACTGTTATAAACGTATCCTTGTTTCCCAATATGATGAAAAGGATTTTGTGCCAATGGGACTCGAACCATTGGCCTTCGAATTCACAGTTCGGAATTCTAACAACAAAGCCACGCCCATCATGCTGGTTCTTATGTCATTCGATCTATTTTAATAATAAAGTCATACAGCATAATTTAGATCTTTTTTTCACTTCTTATGTGCATTTAGTTCGAGATAACTATTATTGTGTTCCCCAGCGGGTCAGCAGTAAGTCTTCTAATTTACAACGGTAAAATCTGTAGTTTTATTCCCTGCGGCGGACAGAGCTCAGATAGCCCACTGCTCAGCTCTGCGCTAAAACTATAACTAATACTATTTCCTAGGGGTAAAACCATATGTTTCGCTTAAAAATATTATATATATATGTATGCGTGTACGCAAATTTTATTTTCACGTGGCATCACTATAATGTTTACCACGTTGCTGTTTATATCATAATGTGTTTGACCCCTTATGTTAGTAGAAGTATTGAAGTGTAACGAGAGAAATCACGAGCTCATGTGGATTCAGTTGTTACTTTTCTGGTATATGTTGCACAGGTAGGTCAGTTTGTGCCACGATTTAGCCCATCTGCAATTATTAGTCACATCAAAAACAGACTTACAATTCTTTTGTGTTTGTTGAATTTCCTATTATTGCTGCATTTCTTTCCAAGTTAACTACGAATAATTTGTCATATAACTTTACGAAACGAAGGTAGTGACATTTAAAACGTATGTACTATTATGTTTTTTGTTTCATAATGTGTGTACGTGTTACAATTGTAACTAGTACTTTATTTCAAATATAGTACTTTTCGATACGAAAAACGATAATAGACTATATAAGTGAGATCTAATACTAGGTTTTAGATTTATATCCAGTTCGTTGTAATCAAGCTTACTTGAAAACCTAAGCAAAATATAAATGATATGTTTGAAATAAAAATGCTCATATATGTTTGTGAATGGGCTACACGAATGTTTTATGTTGTTTAGTTAGTCCTATTATTTGTAGATGGCGCGGTAAAAAGTAATTGAGAACTTCAGGGTAATTTGGTTTTTTTTTTATCTCAGTATTACTTTTTTATAGTTAAACCATGATATTGCCTTGAGGACTAAAGCTATTTTTGTGGTCTCATGTTTGGAAAAAATAAATCACAGAATATCTGCACGGAAAGAAACGGTACGAAATAATACACACAGTTACCAAGCTTCACTTGAACGTTTTTGCTTAATCGCCCCCTAAACCTTATAACTAACTATATATAGAATGGAAGAGCAACTTATCATGATAAAAGATTTTCCCTTCAACCACAAAATTTACTTCAGCCATAAGGCAGGTCGTGAACACTTCTATGAATAAAAGCAAAGTATGGGAAAGAAATCAAAACCTTTTGACTATATCATCAATAAAATATAGTGATTGGCCACCCTATTGGCCTAAATGCTGACTCATTAAATGTTATGCAGGATCATAAGCTGTTATTTGTTAACGCGTAATGATGTGGGTTTTGGTCCAGTAGTAAACAAAGGCGGGAAATGTCTAGTATTTGGTCGTAAACCTTTTATGCACGAAAACAACGAAGAAAGAAAAATATTAGAGTAACTGAACTGGGTTAGATGAAGAACAACACAGCTTTGTCGTTGTAAGGTGTTTATTCGGTCGAATGCACCCTTTGTTCGCTGTATATCTCCCATAGCATGAGGCTCTGAATGTGCGTCTGTGTGTTGCCTGTTCTTGAAGGGTTTTTTGCCGACAGGAGCTAACGATGTCGTTTAAACCTGTGTACGTGTCTGGCTGTTTTTGTATGGTTTGAATATATAAGTACCGTTCATTGTATTGTGAATTTAAAACACCTGGTGGGCTTTATGACATTACTTGCTTTAAGCTGTTTCTATAATCAGTTCAGTTAGAAATCCAACGTTAAAAATCTACTTGAACGAACGTTTGAACAACAAAAATATAATAAGCTAAGTTTGTCGGTGATGCTTTTTTGTTGTTGTTCTCGGAATCACAAAAAGTTTAATGTAATTTATGTAAAATATAAAATGTTTTAAAAGTAATTTGTATGTATAATATGCGTATTAACCACTGTTTTTCAATAACTATATATATCTATATAGTTTTGTTTACATATTTCGCCGTTCTTCATTTTTAACTGATAAACTAGAAGGAAGACAAGTACTCAACGGCACCCAACGCCAACCGTTAAGCTACTCTTGTCTAACCAATCTAGCATGGCCTGGAATTTAGGTTGCCCTACTCACAAAACCCGATGCAGAACATGGTTATACTATCAGCCGTAGGTACGTTATATTGTAACGGCTAGTCTCACTATTCGTTGGTAAAAGCGTAGCCCAAGAATTGGTGGTGGGTGCTGCCGGCCTGTTGCCTTTTCTTTGGTTAGCAGCTCAAAATTAGAGATGGCAACAGATAGTCTTAGTAGCCATTGTCGTAAGCAAAAGAAACAAAAAACTTGTTTAACCAAAGAGTGGGATCTGAACACCTTCGGATCCACAGTCTGGCACATTAATCACTATATCATGCTAAGTTCTAATACTTAGTGTTAAGGTGATTCGAGAAGATAAAGGCTCTCACAAAAAATAAAAAATATCATTAACTAAAAGCACTTTGAAAAGTATGAAAGGGGGTAACTTTGTGAGTTGTACGAATTACTTTAACACAGACATGCGCATATGTTTCTTGTAATTTTAAAAGTATTTCTGAAACGTTAACCATCAAACGAAAGTTGGTAGAACAATCGTCGACATATAAGTTATCGTATATAATTAACTATTTAGAAACTTCCACGTATATATGACTTTGAAAATCATTGAAGACTAATTAATGGCTTGTTAAAAAACAAAATATGTTAATTAGATATATGCAAGATATTGTGTTAAAAATATTAGGCCATGCGAGTTGAATGAACATATGTAGCTGCAGTATTAGTTAATACTTGATTTGAAAATAACAAATATTAAAACTTCCAAGAAAGATATTACTATAATATCATGTTCCGACCTTTTTTTCCATGATAGTGAATAATCAGTACCAAAATGAAACCCTGTCTGTATTACTGCGTTTTATGTATTCCACTATCTGTTTGTGAATGTTACCAGTTTTATAATTTAAATCAGTTATGTGGGATGCTTAAAAAGTTAAAAAAATAATTATAAGTTTGGTTTTATAACGTGCATATGCTATCACTAATCGCACTTGTGCTTAATATGTAGAAATGGCTGCCGCATTCAGTCGGTTACTCTATGATGTTTACAAATAACTGCTAAAGTTGAGTTATAGATTATTTGAGTACCTAATTGCCACTATCGAGTATTACACAGCTTTTATAACAGTAATATTATTCTGTTCTTCTACCACACGTATTTTGGTGTGGAAGTGATAAAAAAAGGAAACTACTACTTAGCAGTGAGTCTAGTTTATAAGCATATATTATTTCCATGTTTCCTAATTACATTTCATTTCTGGTCGCTAGATGGCAGCACAAATTGTTCTTATATAACGACCGTTTGGGACTTAATTCACAAACATGACATCTGCCAAAACAATTTCAGGAAAAAAAAATAATAAAGAAAGACTAAGCTAAATTATTATTGAAGTTATCAAAGAGATCAAGTATTTATGCAACTGACAGATCTGTGTACATGTTATTGATGTCTGAGTTTAAAAACACCAGTTTCTTAATTATCAAACCATTATGTTATATAGGTGTCTACTTTTTTCACATTTTCAGTGGGGCTGAGCCTGACAGCCGTGTGTGTATGCGTGGTATCATGCTTCATGGCATGGGATTTGTATGATGTCCTCCTTTTTAATGGATGTGACCTTAGCATGTGGTGGTTTCGATTGTATTGACAGGCACTGAGTTGAGGTGAAGTTGGAAAGCCTGGGGTTTGTAACTATCCCCTTAACGTTGGCCCAGCGGAGTAACCATTCCAGTTTCACTAGCTCCCAATGTAATTCAAAATTAGAGAAACTGATATGATATTAACATTATATATTACCATTGAATTAGAATAATAACGCAAATGTTCACTTATCAACCTACTTCAATGAAATTCTTTAAAAAAGAGAAGGGAAACAAGTAATAAAAAATTGCAGAACTTAAGGGATGACAGTGCCAAAAAGTACAGAAACAAAGTAGGGATGAATACACAAAACCATACCAACATCAATACATAGGGATCCAAATCTTTCTAAGAATAATTTTTCTACAACTAAATGTTGAATTCCTGCCAGTTGCATGAATTCAAGTTTGAATAAATGCATTTAAACTGAGTAGTACTATACATTCTTACAGTGGATAATAACCATAAGCTTGTAAGGGTGACTCAGTACTTAATGGCTACTTTTGTATGGGTTTGTGTGTTAATCCCTACCTTGTATGTATACTTTTTGGCATTGCCATTCCTGTATCATACTCAATTTTTGCAACAAAAAATATTACTTGTTTTATTGTTCTGTTATTAGGCTGCTATACTATGGACTGAATGATGATGAAAAAAATGGTAGTTAGTGATGTTGAAACCTAAAACAGTTATATGCGAACATGCCCTGTTCTTCACCTTATAGCAAAAAAACAGACAAACTGAATTTGCTTTTTTTCTTAATTAACTTTATGTACCTAACTGCTGATGCTGCAGAATTCCCAACGTTAGGCTGAAATACAGCTGACATTGAGGCGGTGTTAAAGTTGCTGTTAAAATCGCACGTAAGTTATCATAGTCAACATGTTCATAAAAATGTGCAAC